TATATTTTTTTTATATACAAAATTGATTTGATCGCGTAGCTATCGATATTCGATTAACGTGATTTTTTACAAACATATAGTGGTCAACGAATTCTACACATCAATTGGTTTGGATTATCAAAATAAGATCTGTGATGGGCTCCCATGAGCCCAATAGTACTCTCCAGTTAGACTGGAGGGAAGCGAGCCCCAAATTTAAATATTGAGTAAATTACAAATATAGTAATTGAAATTTGATTAAAATACGAATCGCCTCTTATGGTTTTGAAAATTACATTCCACCCCTGAGGTTTTTAATTTAATAACAAATCGCCATTTTTATTAATAAATCATCCAGTGAATTAACTATTTTTAATAATATTAAAAATATGTTTCAATTAATAATTTAGATAATTTTATTATTGCATATGAGAGCAATTATGAATTTTATTTTTTTAGTTAATTCTGTTAAATAAAAAATTCTAATAAAGGGATATATATAATTTTTTAAACTACATAGGATAATTTGTATTTTAAATAAATTTTAGGATGTGTATTTGTAATTTATCCTTAAATATTCTTAGGTAACTGAACCGGCGGTAGAAACTGTTCATTCAACCGGTTCAGTTTCAACTGTGAACCAAACACGTGTGTCCCTCACCTCACCTGATTGCAGCGGTTCATTTCGACAAACCCTCAATTAAGAGCTGAAACAGAGGAGAGAGAGAGAGAGAGAGAGAGAAGCAATGGAATCAACAGCGAGACGAAGCGGAGGAGGAATATTCGAAGGCCTCTACAAGGTGTTAATGCGCCGGACCTCCGTCTACGCCACTTTCGTTATCGCCGGCGCCTTCATCGGCGAACGGGTTAGGGTTCCGATCTCATCTCCGCTGCTTCCTTTTCATATACATGTATATATATATGTATGTATGTATTTGCGTTCTTGATCGTTTTTGCTTCACGACATTTTGAATCTGAATTTCTACAATATTTGTGGTTTTTGAGATCTGTTTAAGGTTGTATCATTGTTTGTGTGGAAATTTGATCTGATTTGCTCATAAAAATGTTGTTCTTTGAGTTTGATTTAATTGAATTGTTGCCAATCAATTGTGAAATTTATTTATTTTCTGCAGGCAGTGGACTATGGAGTTCATAAGCTCTGGGAGTACAACAATGTTGGGGTATTTCAAATCTCCTGTTGTTGAATTTTTTACTTGTTAATTTCATTCTGGTTACATTTTGATTTGAATTATTTTGATTCTAATGGTGGCTATTATATGTATATAATTATATTGTATGTTTGTTATGGTCAGAAAGTTGTTTTATATAAGCACAAATGAGAAACCACGTGTTTCAATTTGAACGAGCGAGAGAAGTTGCAATTCCTCCATTCTAACAGTGTGGTGTCGTTTATGAGTAATTGTTGAAGGCTTTGCTTTATTGCAACTAGGGGTGGGTGTAAACGCAATGGTTTTGCATTTTTAAATCTAAACTTTCACGCAATTTGAAATGAGGAAGATAAGTTAAATTTGAAATTTGTTTAGGGATTTTACTATAACCGCTTAGCAGTTGTTTTATGGGCATTATTGGAAAATAAAATAGTGTTAGAAAGATTCAATCCATCTTCTAAGTTGTGTGTTTTATATAATAGTAGAGATAGTTGTAGTCATGTTATGTTTATTAACCGTGGTTCTGTGCAACCTGACAATATATGGGTTTTTCACAGAGTCAGTTTGCATTGTAACTTCATTCAATTTCACATGATATGAGACTTGTATGATGGCAAGGAACTTAATATCAGTCCGCACTCATGACTGAAGGCAGTTGGGTTGAGACTCAGATCTGCTCTAGTTATGAAATCACTGATTGTTATGGAAGCTACTGAGTCCTCTTGCAGCCCTCTTACACTAAGACTTATCATTCCAAATAGGAATGCTGCTTATATAGGAGTAATTGAAAATCTAAGGCATGAAAAAACTGCCATAGAATCATTCTATTTTATATGTCTACATATGTAGGCTCAAATTTTATTCTACAATTCGTAAAAATCCTGAAAAGTTTAAAATGTAGTAATATTTTAGAACACGAAAAAATAAACTCTACAAAAATGATGCCCATTAACTATAGTTTTCTTCCTAGCCCTACATTAATTAGGATGCATTGCATCACTTTGTTACAGTTATTAGTTGCTAGCTTGGGAGAATATTGATATACTTCAAGTCGTTAAAGAATTTTAGTTATTTTATGAATCAGATTTGATATGAAGATAGAATAGGAAGATCATGACATGTTATGTGCATTTTAATCTTTTTAAAGGTTCGTTGGTCTAGTTTTGGCACTTGGTGGCAATATATAAGGAATGCTAACTATATGAATCCTCTATAATTTCAGCCAATAGTTAGATTCCTTCCCTTCTATATCATGCTTGCTGTTGTTTCAACATTTGTTTAGGTTTGTTTAATTATCTTACCATGGTTTGTAAACTTTTATAATGCAGAAGCGGTATGAGGACATTCCAGTTTTGGGACAGAGGCCAGCTGAATGAATTACCAATCTCCCTTTTCTCGTCTTTTTCCTGGAGTCAAAATGAAACTTCTTATATTGATCTTTGAATAAGTATTGCTTTATTGGAACAATCCAATCTTGATATTTCAAAACATTTAGAACTTAGATTATTGGATTTGAAGCTTGGTTTTTTCTTATATCAAGGCATATTTAATTTTTCATTTTCTTGTGATTTGACTGTTACTTGCTTTTAGCTAGTATTTTGTGTTCATGTTCTGAGAGTACAGTTGAGTTAGAGTGGGGGAAAGCATTTTCTTCTGAAATAAGAGGCCGTTTGGGTGAGTGTGGAAGTGAAGAAAGTTCATTTTCCTTCTGTGTTGGTCATGGGTCTGGCAGGGTGTACTACTTCGAACTAGGGTCGTCCATGGATTGGATTTAATTCAAGCCCAAAAGTCCGAATCCGTTTACAAAAATATTGGGATCCGAAACTATCGGATTCGTATTTGGGTGACCTATAATTGGATATGGGAGAAATGGGTTTGGATCGGATTCAGATTTGTCTTTAATCAGATTGGGTTCGATTTTGACATATCTGATCTGAATCTGATCCATTTACATGCCTACTTTGAATCAGATTTCCATATTGTTTAGCCGACTGCTTTGGTTTGTTTTCGTTTTTTGTGTTTTCGTTAACAAAAAAACTAATACAAAAAATTAAAAAATGATGTTTTTGTATTGTTTATAGTTTAGTGCAAAAATAATTTTTGAAATTTTGAAAGGGCATTTTTGATATTTTCTTTAAGTGGTTGAAAATTTTTTCTTGAAAATAATTTTTGAAAATGGTTTGCCAAAAACTTTCCAAAATAATAATAATAATCAGTGTGTTTGGTTTTAATTTTTTGAAAATTGATTTTTTTTTTGTTTTTGAGTAAATATTTTTAAAATTTTAAGCAATATTTTATTTTTTTAGATGTATTTTACGTAGATGTATTCAAAAAAATATTTTAAAAACTTATTAAATAAAAATACAAAAAATGTACTAAATTTTTATATTTTTGTACTAGTGAATTTTTAAATTTTTATTCTCACAAATATTATACATTTTAAGTGTATTTATGTTAGGTGTGTTTAAAAATTTTAAAAAATTACTTAAAATATTAAAAAAATTCAATGAAAATAAAAAAATATGTAAAATAAAAAAGCATAATATTTTGAAAAATGAATTTTGAAAATTGAAAATACAGAGTGAATAATTTGTTGATAATGCTAGAGATACCAATTTTTTTATTAAATAAATAACCAAATATCTCACATGGTGCGGATCTCACACCAACATTTGGTCGTTTGGGATCTATACCATTTTTCATAATTTGCAAGACAAGTTTTGTTTTCTAAAAAAAGGAAAAAAAAAAACATAGCAAAACAATTAGGACTCGCTTCACCTATGATGTGAAACTATTGTTTGGCTCCAATCATATTTATATGTTGTCCCGCTCTAACTATATTTCTTAAATTTACTTGTATGTATATAATATTTAATTTTAAAGGCTACAATATTAACATTTATTTATTTATTTATTTATTATTTTACATATTTTAACTTATCATCGCAATAATATATATATATATACATCCATAATAGAATTTATTTGTTGTACAAGTATGTAAAACTAATTAGGGTTAGATAAATATCTATCCGACCTGTCAAAATCGAATGTCTTGAATTAATTTGTCATGGAGTGGACAATTTCAATAGTCTAAGTGGATGGATACAGATGGATTTTTCCAATCTACATAAGTTCGGATGGACGGTGAATGAGAGATGACCCGACTCTATTTGATTCGCTAATACACTCCTAAGAAAATAATTTTATATTTTTATGCTTTGTGTGTTAAAAAAAAAACTTTTTTTAATAATTATATTTGGTATTTATAAATTATGAAAGTTGAACCTTTTATTTTTATCATAAAATAAACAATCAAACAATTTGGGAGCAGAATAGTAAAGAATTACAAGAACATAGTTTGAAAAAAAGGTACAAAACAATAAAACTCAAACTACCAAGTTAATCCACATTCACCCGCTAATCTACACAGCCTGTTCAATCCGCATCTACTAGCTAAGGTCTCGTTTGACAATTATATGTTTAGTTAAAAAATCATTATAATTTGTCACATTACTCTCTTTATTTTTTTATATATCTTTTCGTAAAAAATAAAAAAGTAACTAAAATAGCTTGTTCCAAAACAAGACTTAACTAAACGGATGTAGATTAATTTTTTTTCAATCTACTTAAGTTGAAATGGATGACATATGAAAGGTCACACGACCCAATCCAACCCGATCTAAAACTAACTGACCAGTCAAATTTGGGCCCAGTTCGGGTCTGATAGTATTTCCTAAGGCAATTAAAAGTGGGCACAGTTACGGGTCCTATAGGCTCAATTGAATTTTTGTGGTCAAAAAAGTAAACCCAGCCCAGTCCGGTTTGGGCCACAAGTCTGAGAAAGCAACTCTCACGTGTTTAGGGTTGGCGTTTGTGAAGAAGTTATTTATCTATTCTCTCCAAACGAGTCTCTCTCTTCATCGCTCAGTTATCGGCTATCACAAACCCTAATCTAGGGTTTTCTTCTCTCAGGTACACATTCTCTCTCTCTCTCTCTCTCTGATCTAAACATTGAATTACTGTGGTCATACATAAGGATCTGTGTATTACACTGCCAGATTTGTATATGGTTGAGAATCACTTCCATTTTCACCTTTTGTTCTGTTTGGTTCCTGAGAAAGCTTAGAAAATCAACAAGAAACGGTTTCTTGTTTTTTGTTTTTTTTAGTTATCTAAAAGGTGCCATTGATGAAATAGGAATAAAAAATTGCTTTGATTTATAGTCTTCAGTTGTTATTGAATGATAATTGAGTGTTTTTTGTGTTTTTTGTTTTGGTGGCAGAAAGTCGGAAGAAAAGGAAAAAAGTTTCAATCATGAGGTATGTGAAATTTCTGATCTTGTTATATGTGGAGTTTCTTTGGTTTTGTTTCATGTGTTGCGATTCTATGCTTTTAATTTGTGTTTCTTTAAAAAAAAAAAAAAATTGGGTTCTCTCTGTATTCCTACATTTGTATTTGTTGTGCTGTAGAAAGGTCAATTTTGAAGTAGTAGTGGCTTGCTTGAATGCATTTTTATTTGAAACTGTCCATAATTTGAGTATTGTACGATTGACATTAAGATAAGACAGACGTCTAGTTTTCATGTACTTTTCTGTGAAAATGGTTTAACCAGTACGAATTGTTTACCATCTAGTGCCTTGCTGTTATTTTTCGATATGTATTATTGGTTTAATAGTGGATGAGGGTGTTGTTAGCATAGGCCAATTTGTGATCACTCCCTATATGAGACACGTGAGAGACTCAATCAGCCATTTTGATCATTAAAGACGTTGATGCTTGTCACTGTGGTGTTTTTTGGGTCCAAACTGTAATTTTTTCCCATGTGGTTTAATAGTTCTATGGCATTGTTTAATGTGTAGTTTTTGATTTGAGGTCATTGTCCAGTATGTCCCCAGATTAACTCATTTTGTTAATTGTTGTTAAACCCTAGTGTCTTTTCATGTTTTTAGAGGCTTCAGTCTTGGAAAGTTGGTGCATTTCTACTTTATAGTTATTCAATTCTCACTGATGATGTGCAGTCATATATGCTCTTTGTACATTTGTGAAATGTGTCATTGTAGTTCCTTCATAGTATGTTTTTTTTGTTACTTGTAAGGCAATTTTGTTTTTATGTTGTTTAACCCCATTGAATCTTTTTTTTTTTTTTTTTCCATCTACAGTAAGCTTCAGAGTGATGCCTTGAGGGAAGCAATCACCCAGATTACTAATGATGCCAAGGAGAAAAAGCGTAACTTCACTGAAACCGTTGAGCTCCAGATTGGACTGAAAAACTATGATCCTCAGAAGGACAAGCGTTTCAGTGGTTCTGTGAAGTTGCCTCATATCCCTCGTCCCAAAATGAAGGTTTGCATGCTTGGTGATGCTCAGCACGTGGAAGAGGTAATCCTGCTATGACAAACTAATGAATCAAGAAACTGAAGAGAAGTTTTACATTTTGGAGAAGGGGGAATTGATTCTTTAGTTTTCTGTTTTTTTCTGTTTGAACTTTTTTTGATACCCAAAAATTAGCATGTTTAATATCCTTGAAACTCAAATAACTGGAAAATTGCATTTTATATCCAATAGCGACCCTAGATTTGGAAGATCTTGTTGTCTAAAGTTCAATGATTTTTGTGTTAAAAATTGTTTTCTTTTTTTTAAGTGTCATGTATATTATATATCAATTTTATTGTTTGATCAACTATTAGTTGCATGGTGATAGTTGTTACTTAGATGAAACATTGGCGTGCACTGTTTCCTCAGCAAAACTTTTCATTGCAAGCATCCAGTTTGTGTTTCATTTTCTTCATATATATATATCTTGTGGTTGTGATTAGGTATTTATTCATTACTCTGATTGGCTAATCTCATACTGCTGTGGAAGTGATTGTGAAAACATGCATGAATGATTTTTTATAAACTTCCTTTGCTACATTTGTTTTTCACATGACTGTTCAGGCCAAGTAAGCAGCAAACTGCTGCAATTGTTTGTATCCCACACTCTTAGGTGCAAGAGTAAGATTAGCTAATGCCTAAACATTTGCTTGAATCTTAAAGAAGAATGTGCCTGCTCTTATTTTATTTATGAATTCCTGACCAAGTTGGGTCAGCGACTAATGTCTGTTGTCTTGAGGTGATCCTTTGTTTTACTTGATCTGCAGGCTGAGAAGATAGGTTTGGAGTATATGGATGTGGAAGGGCTGAAGAAACTTAACAAAAACAAGAAACTGGTTAAGAAACTTGCTAAGAAATATCATGCCTTCTTAGCATCAGAAGCTGTCATCAAGCAGATTCCCCGTCTATTAGGACCTGGACTCAACAAAGCAGGCAAGTTTATATGATGGTTCAGCCATCAACTATCTGGATCATTTATTGCTGCATTAGATATATTGATCTCATGGATGGTGCTAGTTTAATTTTCTTTTGGCCTTGTAACCATAATATTTTTTTAAACATTTTTTCCCGCCAATGGCTTGTGTAATCACATGACTGGGTTGATCTGTATTAAAAACATTCTTGTGTTGTTTGAGTAGAAGTCTGTGGCCTTACATGTTGGCACTTGTTACCTTCCTATGAGCTATATATGCATTTTCTATTGTCAGTTTCCATTTTTGTGAGAGGTTACCTGTTGCCTGGCTAAAGTAATTGGTGAATGGTGAGTGCATATACTATGCTAGGCAGCCACTATGGGTAATTTATACGTGCAATTTCTAGTGGTGGAACACCAATTAGTCTTATCCAACAATGTCACTGATTAGAAGGGAAATATTTTTCAGGCTGATTATAGAGTCGAATTTTTTTTTTTCATTCTTCATTATTCTAGTAGTGCTGTACTTTCCATCTCTTTGTTGGAGTTGCACTGGAAAGAATTTTTATATATGGGACTAGTTAGATTTATTGGGCAGTTGTATCCTTTTTATTCTCAGCGGTTGGAGTGGAATGTGTCAGTTTGTTAACTTTGTTTGTATCTGACTAGTTTCATTTCTTCCGATGCAGGGAAGTTTCCTACCCTTGTCACTCATCAAGAGTCTCTCGAGTCTAAAGTTAATGAGACTAAAGCAACAGTCAAATTCCAACTGAAGAAGGTTCTCTGCATGGGAGTTGCTGTTGGCAACCTCAGTATGGAGGAGAAGCAGATTTTTCAAAATGTGCAAATGAGTGTTAATTTTCTGGTTTCCTTGTTGAAGAAGAACTGGCAAAATGTGAGTTTAGTCTCTCTCCTCAACTAAACTATGAAGTTGCCATGAATTCATGAAGTATTGCACTCAACTGTTACCAGGGGCTGTGCTGCAAATCTGGCACTGCTGTTACTTTTCTATTAGGCGTTTCCATCTTAATCATTTTCTTGATTTCGATTCTTACAGAATACTTATAAAAAAATATTACTATTATTGGTTGCCCTTATGCATCATCGAACAGTTACCTTTGTAGGCAATTAGATTGTTGAATTGACTAGCGTATTTGCGATGTTTTGAAATTTCAGCTGCTACACACACAAGCATAGCTTTAGGACTTTAAGAAGAGCTGCATTATAACAGAATAACGTGGTGAAATTGCTTATCAAAATAATTATATACAATAAACACAAACCAGATTAATGTGTTGAAATTGAATCGAAATATATATACGCCACACACCATAATACTGCGTTAAAATTGTGGAGGAAAAGAGAGCAGCATGTGCCTAAAATAGCTATGATGACCATGATTGTTAAGGTGAGTTTATAAAGCTTTATGCATTTCTTCATGGCTCTTTTGATGGACTCCTGTTTTCGGTGTAGAAGTAGAACACACCACTGCCGAATACCTCTTGACAACTTCATTGCAATTTTCATCCTAATCTCTTTCGCTGTGTTTGGTTCGGGGATTTGAGGAGAGATTTAGAAATGGAAGGGAAAAAAGAAAAATTAGGTGAAATGTGGATAAAATATACTTACATTTCACTTAGTTTCACACACATTTTCCCTTTTCATTTCCAAATCCCTCCCCAAATCTCCCAACCAAACACAGTAATGATTTATGTCATGTTGATTGACTTGCTAACCGTGTGAAGCTATGATGGGGTGTTTTCGTGTTTGGATTCTTATTTTTCAATGTTAAATTATCTTAATGACATTTTGTTGTTGATTGAAAATCAGGTGAGGTGCTTGTACCTGAAGAGTACCATGGGGAAACCAGTCCGCATCTTCTAAACCTTGTTTCTCTGTACTCGAGCTGTTTTACGGAGCAATTTAGTGTGAGCCAATGCTTAACAGATTTTTCTGGATTGAGCAGTTTTCCCTTTTTGTTAGCTGTGTTTACTTTGATGCCCTTTTGAATTTAATGTTTTCTATAAATTTTTATGGAGATGTGGAACTATATCATTCATTTACTGGATGATCCTTTTTGTTTTTGGTGGCATATGCTTACTTTATCCTAGAAAATCTTTTTGCATATTGTTTGCTTCACGCTTTGTGTTACCTTTGCACCAAATATATATATATGTACTCTAGTTTTGAAAGATTGCTTTTGATTTGAGAATTTTTACCAGAATTGGAAGCAGCACCAAGTTTTTCAATGGGTAATTGCAGGTTTGTTTGGGAATTGGCTTTTTTAGTTTTTTATGAAAGGATTTGTAAAAATGTATGGAGAATGAGTTGATTTTTTGGTTAATTTTGTATGTTCCGAGAGCTTTGTGACTGCAATTGTTATGAATATGAAAACTAGAGGGGTTTGAGACTTCACTGGCCAAGTGTTGAAAGTTGGTGTTGCCTATAGAGGGTCTTTGGGGTGTCTTGCTCTGTCTTGTTTTGTTATTTTCATTCTTCACTTTGATTTTGATTTTAACATATTTTAATTTCACAAAAGAATAGAGGTGATGGTAAACTTCAAGAATGAAATGTATTTATGATTTATTGCAAGTATTTATTTTGTAATTTATTTTTATTTTTTGTTTTAAAATTTGTATCAAGGGTATTGTTTTTTTTTAATTTTTTATTGCTACTTATTTCAAAGAAAAATATTAATTATAATTTATAATTAATTTTCTTATTTAAAAAATAATTGAAATAAATAATATCTTGCCAGGCAGTGTATGGTGGTCCTCTATTAGAAAATATTTGTGATTACACAAGCTTTTAGGCTAGTTTTAAGTAGCAGTAATGATAGAGACCCCCTTTGTGGAGGATCCCACAACTCCCTTTGTGATCCACACCATTCATGATGTGGACCCCGCACATACATGAGTGGGCCTCACACATCATGAATGGTGTAGATCAGTAAGGGGGTTGTGGGGGTCTTCCACAAAGGGGGTCTGACTCATTTTTCTTTAAGTAGTTAGGCCTATCTTGAGAAATTTTATTTTATTTTATTTTATTTTGGGACTTATTAGCTTATTACAAAAAAATGTATAAAAAATTAATTGTTGAAGAAGAACTGGCAAAATGTGAGTTTAGTCTCTCCTCAACTAAACTATGAAGTTGCCATGAATTCATGAAGTATTGCACTCAACTGTTACCAGGGGCTGTGCTGCAAATCTGGCACTGCTGTTACTTTTCTATTAGGCATTTCCATCTTAATCATTTTCTTGATTTCGATTCTTACAGAATACTTATAAAAAAATATTACTATTATTGGTTGCCCTTATGCATCATCGAACAGTTACCTTTGTAGGCAATTAGGTTATTGAATTGACTAGTGTATTTGCGATGTTTTGAAATTTCAGCTGCTACACACAAGCACAGCTTTAGGACTTTAAGAAGAGCTGCATTATAACAGAATAACGTGGTGAAATTGCTTATCAAAATAATTATATACAATAAACACAAACCAGATTAATGTGTTGAAATTGAATCGAAATATATATACGCCACACCATAATACTGTGTTAAAATTGTGGAGGAAAAGAGAGCAGCATGTTCCTAAAATAGCTATGATGACCATGATTGTTAAGGTGAATTTATAAAGCTTTATGCATTTCTTCATAGCTCTTTTGAAGGACTCCTGTATTCGGTGTAGAAGTAGAACACACCACTGCCGAATACCTCTTGACAACTTCATTGCAATTTTCATCCTAATCTCTTTCGCCGTGTTTGGTTAGGGGATTTGAGGAGGGATTTAGAAATGGAAAGGAAAAAGGAAAATTTAGGTGAAATGTGGATAAAATATTTTTACATTTCACCTAGTTTCACACACATTTTCCCTTTTCATTTTCAAATCCCTCCCCAAATCTCCCAACCAAACACAGTAATGATTTATGTCATGTTGATTGACTTCCTAACCGTGTGAAGCTATGATGGGGTGTTTTCGTGTTTGGATTCTTATTTTTCAATGTTAAATTATCTTAATGACATTTTGTTGTTGATTGGAAATCAGGTGAGGTGCTTGTACCTGAAGAGTACCATGGGGAAACCAGTCCGCATCTTCTAAACCTTCTTTCTCTGTTTTACGGAGCAATTTAGTGTGAGCCAATGCTTAACAGATTTTTCTGGATTGAGCAGTTTTCCCTTTTTGTTAGCTGTTTACTTTGATGCCCTTTTGAATTTAATGTGTTCTATAAATTTTTATGGAGATGTGGAACTATATCATTCATTTACTGGATGATCTTTTTTTGTTTTTGGTGGCATATGCATACTTTATCCTAGAAAATCTTTTTGCATATTGTTTGCTTCACGCTTTGTGTTACCATTGCACCAAATATATATATACTCTAGTTTTGAAAGATTGCTTCTGATTTGAGAATTTTTACCAGAATTGGAAGCAGCACCAAGTTTTTCAATGGGTAATTGCAGGTTTGTTTGGGAATTGGCTTTTTTAGTTTTTTATGAAAGGATTTGTAAAAATGTATGGAGAATGAGTTGATTTTTTGGTTAATTTTGTATGTTCCGAGAGCTTTGTGACTGCAATTGTTATGAATATGAAAACTAGAGGGGTTTGAGACTTCACTGGCCAAGTGTTGAAAGTTGGTGTTGCCTATAGAGGGTCTTTGGGGTGTCTTACTCTGTGTCTTGTTTTGTTATTTTCATTCTTCACTTTGATTTTGATTTTAACATATTTTAATTTCACAAAAGAATAGAGGTGATGGTAAACTTCAAGAATGAAATGTATTTATGATTTATTGCAAGTATTTATTTTGTAATTTATTTTTATTTTTTGTTTTAAAATTTGTATCAAGGGTATTGTTTTTTTTTAATTTTTTATTGCTACTTATTTCAAAGAAAAATATTAATTATAATTTATAATTAATTTTCTTATTTAAAAAATAATTGAAATAAATAATATCTTGCCAGGCAGTGTATGGTGGTCCTCTATTAGAAAATATTTGTGATTACACAAGCTTTTAGGCTGGTTTTAAGTAGTAGAATATTTATTAATTTATTTTGAGTTCTTAGTATTGATACTATCAATTTGATAGTAAAACTTCATACAAATTAAATAAGTTTTATAAATATTTTACATGCATTTTAGGGATGGATTCGAACCTCGCTGATGGAGTCAAATTTTATTGTAAAATTTTGTGGGTTAATTATTGTTAACATCTACCCAGATGGCTTAATATCATGGTTTGTTGCTATTAAGATATAATTTAAGATTAAGATGATTTATTTATCACACAAAATATATATATTCTATTTTTCCGTGCATCGCACGGGTTACCGCTAGTATGTATATACGGTAATGTTATATGTATTAATTAGTGTAATAATATTAGTTATGACACTATTATTGACGTCATTTATTATAAAAATTATAAATATTAAAAATTTCTTAAATTGTGTCATATCATCAACTAGTAAATTAATTAATACATTAATTAGTGTATATAGTATTATATATATATATATATATAAACATATATATTATAAAATTAGTAAATTTTACTCAGATGAGTTTTATTTTTGAGAACCACACCAGGAGTATAAAGATCTATTAAGTGGGATAATTGTTTACGAAACGGATTAAGTCATGTGAGTTGTATGATAAATATTATTATCAAAGTTTGGTTGGTGCAAGCAAACTATAAAACTATAAATAATTTATTTTAATAAAAAAATGCAAAGTAAACCAGGGGCGCGGCATTGGGTAGTTTCGGTTCGGCAATTGAAAGTTAGGGCATCTTCTCTCTCTCCGTCTCTATAGAAGATGCCAAACGCTTTTCTGCCCCTCTTAAATTTGCTTTTGTCCGACTCTGGACCCATGCGAAAGGCCACTTTCTCTTCTCTTTTCTATAAATAAGGATTTGGAGGGTGGTCAGGCCTTGGCCAACTAGAAATAAATCTCCACTCTCCGGCGAGTCACTCAATCATCTCCGACAACACTTTCGTAAGATTTTCCAATCCCTACTCTTCATATATAATAATAAATAATATTAATAACAATAATGATTGAGACCCCCTTTGGGGTCACCTCCTTCGAAAGGCCACTTTCTCTTCTCTTTTCTATAAATAAGGATTTGGAGGGTGGTCAGGCCTTGGCCAACTAGAAATAATCTCCACTCTCCGGCGAGTCACTCAATCATCTCCGACAACACTTTCGTAAGATTTTCCAATCCCTACTCTTCATATATAATAATAATAATAATAATAATAATGTACTTTCTTCTCTCCGATCTCTCCTAGTTTTATCTCTTACTTTTCACTATTTTCTTGTTTGTTTCGTCTTCTATTTCCTTTTGATTCTGACCCTGCTGCATGGATGTAATGTTGCACAAAATTATTATTATAAAAAATTTCACACATATTTTTCTTTTCTTTTTTTAAATTGCTTCCCAAATCACTCGGCCAAACACGGCATCAGGTACATTTCTATAGGGAATTGTTTTTCAAAGGGCAGAAGAGAAGTATCAATTGGAGCAAATGTTATTCATGGTTTGCTCTACCATTAAATGTATTAGTACTTGAATGTGAGATTTTCGCTATCTGTTGGAATGACATGAAGCCTAGATTGAAGAGCAGAGAGCCACTCGCTTTGCTTCTTCTCACAGTGCTCCGACAGCAAATGCCTTGTTGTTGCAGGAATGGATAGTTAAGTTCCATTTACTTTTAATTTCTGATGAGGCAACAGGTTAATGGTCGCATCCACTTCCATGCTACAACCCTTTGGATCCTTGTCTTTTGGATCAGGGATGAGTCTCCCTTTTCTTTGAATTCTTTTGTTCTGCTTTTTTTGCACATCTCGTTACATATATAATAAAGTCTTTCTGGTTTGCTTTTGTTTTGCTTGAGGCTGTGTTTATTGAAAGATTTGATGAGAGAAATGGAATGGGAAAAACAATCTCACTTTTTTGTTTGGTTATAGGGAAAAGAAATTGAGAAGAAAATGCAGTCCCACGTTTTGCCTTTTGTGTTCACGTACGGTCTGTTTGGTTGGGAGATTTGCGAATGAATTTTAAAAGGAAAAAGAAAATGATTGGTGAAATGTAAATAAAATATAATTATATTTTATCTAGTTTCACATACTTTTTCTCTTTCTCTTCCAAATCTATTTCCAAATTCCCCAACTAAGGATTTTTTTTCTTCTTTTTTCTCAATTTCTCAACTCAACCAAACATAACTTGGAATTCAAATCCATTCAATTCTTTCTCCTTTTCTTTCTCTTTCCATTTTCCTCATCAAATTCTCTAACCAAATACAGCCTAAATATACAAGGGAAATAGGGTGAAAAAACGCAGGATTTCTATTTTCCATCTATCCTGGAGGCTATAATTTTCTTAAAATCTTTTTTTAAATATCAAATTTGAGCTTCTTTTCCTTCAAAACATCCTAAAACATTAGGGGATTCAAGTGTCTAATTTGGGTCTAGGGGTTGGATGCTTTTTATACCCTTAGCTTTGTCACACCTGGTGGATACACACACATATATAGGTATACAATGAGGGTAATAGAGAAGTCCATGTAACACCGGTAGCATGGCAGGTATTTCCACTTGATTTATCGTAGAACTAAAAGGCTGGGTTATCTGTTAAGTGGCAACACTAGATGCAGGAAATAATGTTTGTTAGTTAAAAATTCTGACACCTTTCCATGGTTGGTACAACATGGAGCCTCGAGTGAAGAGCAAAGAGCAACTGGCTTGCCTCTTCTCGTAGTGCTCCAAACATTGAATTGCTTCTCATTGCAGAGATGGATTATTAGGTTCCATTTTATTGTAAATTATGGCAAAGCAACATAGTGATGGTGGTGGTACTCATGTTCTACCCTTTTGCCTTTACCATTAGATTTAACATGTTGGGGAGGCTGTGCATGAGCGTAAGAGCAGACAACCACTTTCTTGCCTATTCTCACTAGACTCAGAACATTAATTTTTCTTATCATTTTGGGATTGATGGGGAATGCCTTCCCATTTTGATCGATGTGGTTATGTTAAAAGTTTTGATGCAACCCGTAGGCTGAGTATGATTAGAATGAAAGTGGTGGAAAGTACGGGAACGAGAAAAAAACAAAATATTTTCAGAGTTTGTTTAGTATAAAAGTGGTGGAAACTACAAGAAAGTTAATTATTTTGTACAACCCATAAAAAATCATTATGATTTGCTTGTTCCTGAAAATATTTTATTGTCTAGATGTCGTAGAGAATTGAGAATTCTAATTTGTTTGAATTCAAAGACTAAGCATGATGTGAATAGAAATCCAATATTTTGCAATGGGAACAAGGTCAAAAATTGGAGTCGATTTTTTGATGAAAATAAAGATCTTGATAGAGATAAATTAATTAAATTCAAATTTTTTCTTTGGCCCAATTATCGATTAGAAGATTCAGCTTGTATGAATCACTATTGGTTTGATACCAATAATGGCAGTTGTTTCAGCATGTTAAGGATACATATGTATCCACGATTGAAAATTCGTTGATGATACATTTTTCCTATCTATCCTATACCATATCTGCCATATGAAAATAAACAGATGCACACATGACTTGTCTTCCATCTCATTCTAATATATGATACTAATTCAATAACGTAAACAAAATGATAACTAATTTTTTAATTTTTTGCAAAATACATAATAAAACACACCGAATATTTAAATTTGTCCTTGCATGCGGTTACTTGTAATTAAAATTTAAAATTTATCACCTCTTTTTTGTTTTTTTTATCTTGCAAAATTTTCATTCTAATCAAATGTTTACAATATATATTTTCCTTTCCATTTCTTTTCTTTCACCTCAATTTCTACCACTTTTTCGCTTCAACTATTTTTTTTCTTTCTAATCAAACAGAGCCTTGGGAATATTGTTTTACCCCGCTACAGCCCACCTCTAATCATAGTAATCACAATAATAAACAAATGATGGGCGGAGAGTTGAATCGGGACAGAAATTGCTTTTGGTGCCGGAGAATTGTTTATAGGGGGCCATAGGTCATGTACTCAGTGTATATATGTGTCCAATTTTGAGGGTTGCCACGTGACGGCTTGTAATGTTGAATATTTAAGTTTACAACAATGCTAGGTAGCTCAAAATTTTATGGCTCAAATGGCTCAAATCACTCAAAATGACGTCGTTTTGAGTGTAAATGAGTGTAAAACGACGTCGTTTTGACGGATTTGAGCCATTTGAGCCACAAAATTTTGAGCTACCAAACATTTTCCTTAAGTTTAATGGACATTCTATGTTGATCAACTATTGCCATTCATTTGGTCTCTAGCTTGCTTGTACATTTACACTTAGGCCATATTCGTTTGGATGGACATGGCCTTAAGGGTTGCATTTCTACATCCAGTGAACCTATTAGCAATATAGCTGAATCTTGCTGCTTGCATCCAGGTAAGCAAATATGTCAACCGCGATACTCCCCTCTCCTCACTGCTTGTTCAGAAGTGCGCCACAGAACCGAACTGCCAATGCCTTTGTCAAGACCCCATCCTCTCTAGGAACCGTAAAGAGCGTCTCTAAATCCTTTGGATTGAAATCCTCAAGTTTTAGAGTGTCTGCAATGGCAGCATACAAGATCAAGCTGATAACCCCAGATGGTGAAGAGAATGAGTTTGAAGCCCCTGACGATGCTTACATCTTAGATTCTGCAGAAAATGCAGGAGTGGAGCTTCCCTATTCTTGCAGGGCCGGTGCTTGCTCAACCTGTGCGGGGAAATTGGAGTCGGGTTCGGTTGATCAATCTGACGGATCTTTTCTTGATGAGAACCAAATGAAGCAGGGTTACTTGCTCACTTGCATTTCATACCCAACTTCAGATTGTGTCATTCACACTCACAAGGAGGAAAATCTTTACTGAGAGCATCCATCATACCCTGGTCCTCTGTTTTGGTGCAAGGAAAGTCTCGGATAAGGTTTCAACTTGTTATCTATCGATGTTATGAACCAAATCAACCATGTTCGTTCCCATAATTCCAGTCCCCTTTTCTTTCTAGCTTTTTTCAATGCTGCTTGAAGTTGGTTTTGACTAGAATCAATGTTTAATTAATTTTTTTTTTAAAATACTACTAATAATAAATGTTTGTTTAAAATACAAGTGAGACATCAAATTTGGTTGATAACTTGAGAGTTGAGAATGGCCTTAGTTATTTTATATAGTGTAAAATACATATATATCTATTGAGATTTGTTTAAAATATGTGAATGCGGTTATGAAAATTACAAATATCTTTTTATCATAGTTTTTTATTTGACAGAATTGAAAGAAAAAAAATTAAATTTTTAACTATTTTTCCATACAACAATAAATATTACTTCAATTGTTAATTGAAATATAATTACGACATTATTAAAAATTGATAATTTATTAATAAAAGGGATTATTTATTATGCGATTAAAAACTTGAAAGTTGAAAGGTTGAGATATAATTTTTAGAATTACAATAGACAATTTGTTTGCATTAGATGTGGATGTTTAAGAAAATATTTTTAAAATTTTAGTTTTTTTTTTTCCCCCCCCTCCATTTGTTTGACGGTTCATATTTAAGAACATTGCATATCATAATTCATGTGAGCAAGATCATGAACCATGATGAATAGTAACTGCATGTCGTGTGTCCTGAATTTGGATTTAGAGAAATAAAACTGGACAGTACAGTGTTACCTAAACAGAGCTCTCCTGTTGAATTGAAACCTCTCACTCATCAGTAGGAGAATGGTCATTTGATGGTATGGAGCATTGTGTCAGACCATTTATTACTTTACTCTTGTCTTTTAAAAATTTAACAAAAGAATTGTTCCAAAATTACCAAATAATTTGTCCGTCGTGACATAATGTCCAGGGTTGAAAGCAGAATTGCAACATGACATGTAATGTAACATGGAAAATTGGCCTATTAAGAAGATTACTGTCATGCAAACCAATAAATTTTTCCTATCATGCAAACCAATAAATTTTTCCTATCAGTAGTGACATAGTGTCTAGGATTCTTGGAGTGAAGAACCTAACCAAAAGTTTTTCTGCAATCTTGGTGTGAAAGCATCTTCACACTACAAATGCAAAATGATTTCTTTTCACTTATCTTACTCGAGACAATAAATTTATTAGTCAACAATTAATGAAATAGGTGTCACCACTCACTCATATATATATATATATATCAATCATTTATGACTACAAATATGTAAATAGATGATATACATCAAATCCAAAGCATCCATCAATTCAGAATCAAAATATGTCAAAAACTTTAAATGAAAGTGTTGTTCAATACCTAAAGAAAAATCTATTATTAGCTCTACTCATTTACTAATACCAAACAGATTAACCAACCCCAATCCATTCTAAGCGACATGAATAGCGTTAGTTAGCTGCCACAAAGTTGTGGCCTTAATCTTACTAGTCTTCAAGTTGAGGTTCTTGAACTCATCCACTATCCACACACTTGTTTCCAATCCATTATTGCAGCAGTAACTATGGTTTGCAAATTGCTCAAGCGGCAGAAAAAATCATCATCCTCCTTGTTTTCACCACCACCAATACCCATTTGATCGAACTCTTGAACAGCTTGGCTAAGTGTCAAGGTGCACTCATCTAAGGGTCAACACCTTAATGCCACACTCATTTGTGCCATTTGGAGAGCCAAAAACATACCCAAGAAGTTGTTGATGCAAGTGCAAGCCAAGGTCCAAGGCATGGTGCAAGATAGCCCAAGACATGCCATGAAGCAGCCCAGCCACAACAAACCACAACAGGCCAAAGACTTACCTGTCCAACAACAACTTTAGGCCAACTTTTGAAGGGTCAAATGTAATCTTTTTGATCTGTAAATTTTTATATAAATACCTTAGTATTAAAGGTGTTTTGGGTCCAAGTACTGTAATTTTCTCTTCTTGTAGAATTTTTTAAAAAATCCATTATGATTCTTTAAACATAGTGGATGTTTCCTCTTGCCAAATAGGAAATGGCTTAACAAGCTATATTAAGGAGGAGGTACCCAAGTGTTGAATCAAACCACTTGTGCCTTTAAAGTACCTCCACCTAGCCATTGGTAAGGCAACTTTTGTAGCACTTTTGGTGCATTGTTCAACGATTATAATGCCTTCTTTTGGTGCATAGCTTTGCACAATTAAGACTTGGAAGCAACTTAAGCATGAACTTAAGCTCCAATTCTTCCCTGAAAATGTTGAGTATAATGCCTGGCATGCTTTGTGGGATCTCAAGCACACCGGCACCATAAGAGATTACATGAAACAATTCTTTGGGCTTATGCTAGACATCAAAGACATGTCATAGAAAGCCAAGCTCTTCTTCTTTCTTGAGAGATTGAAGCCATGGCCCAGAGTTGAACTTCAAAGGCAAAGAGTACAAGATTTAGCCCATGCACAAGTAGCAACTGAGTGCCTTACGGACTACGCCGAACCTAAGCAACGGGATAGTGGTTCCCCGCGCAAGAGTAGGGAGGTGAAAAGTCCCAAGGCTATGGTGAACCTAAGAGTGGGGGAGCCAACATTTCTACATCCAAAACCCATTCGGGTGGAGGACAATGGCAACAAAAGAGCTATGGTGACAAGGTAAAAGCCCCTCAACAGTTCTCTACAAACAAAGCAAAGGGCCCTATCTCTTGTTTCTTATGCAATGGGCCACACCGGTTATCTGAATGTCCACAAAAGCGTGCCTTGAATCCTCTAGCAACAGTGCCTGACCATGTCTCCCAACCAAGTGACGATGATAGCAAGGAAAAAGATTGCAATCTAGGCGAAGTGGCAAGGGTTCTAAGGCAGCTGGCTCTAGAGTGGGAGCCTTTCATATGATGAATGCCATGAAGAAGAAGGCTTCTACAGGGAGGCCTAAGAAGAATGCCAAGAGTGGCAAAGTGGGCAAGCATTCAAATCCTAAATAACTTGTGGAGTCTAAAGATGAAGACAAAGGGAAGAAACCCATGTATAGTGGGAAATCATTAGGCAAGTTGAACAAGAGCAAGTCGAACAAGAGCAAGTCATCCAACAAAGGTTTGATGTTTGTGGATGTAAAACTTAATGGGATGCCCTTCCGTACTTTGATTGACACAGGGGCCACCCACAACTTTGTTGCTGGAACCGAAATTGAAAGACTTGGGCTATCTTTAGACAAGGATAGTAGCCACATCAAGGCGGTTAACTCGGCGGCGTAGCCCATCTATGGGGTTGCAAAATCTGTTCATTTAAGGTCAGCACTTGGAAAGGAAGAATAGATTTCACCGCAGTACCCATAGATGACTTCCAAGCCATCTTTTGGTTGGATTTCTTGAGAAGCACAAAGACGACAGTCATGCCTTATTCTAATAGTATGTGTGTCATGGGGGACAAGCCATGTCTTATTCCCACTATAGCCACCAACAATAGTGACCAGTTTGTCTCAGTTATGCAACTCAAGAGGGGTGTTAGGCATGGTGAACAAACTTGGGTTCCTACATTGAAGTTGAATAAAGCTCTTGAATATACTCCTGTCCCAGCCGCAGTTAAGAAGGTCTTAAGGCAATTTGTAGATGTTATGCCTGAACAATTGCCTAAGGAGTTGCCTCCACGCCGGGGTGTGGATCATGTTATTGAGTTGGTACCAGAGGCAAAGCCACCAGCTCGTGCACGTATAGAATGGCTATTCCCGAGTTGAATGAACTAAAGAAGCAGCTTACGGAGTTATTGGAAGTAGCCTTCATTAGGCCATCAAAGGCCCCATTTGGTGCACCTGTCTTGTTCCAAAAGAAGCATGGCAGTAGTCTTCACTTATGTGTGGATTATCGGGCACTCAACAAGCTAACCATCAAGAACAAGTATCCCCTTCCTCTAATTGCAGATTCATTTGATCAATTGAGCAAAGCGAGGTATTTTAGAAAGCTAGATCTTCGATCGAGGTACTATTAAGTAAGAATTGCCGAGGAAGACGAGCCTAAAACCACATGTGTTACTCACTATTGTTCCTATGAGTTCTTAGTCATGCCATTTGGCTTGACCAATGCCCCAGTAACATTTTACACCATGATGAATGAAGTTTTTCAAGAGTACTTAGACCAATTCGTGGTAGTATACTTGGATGACATTGTAATTTATAGCTCTACTTTAGAAGAGCACGTGGAACATCTTAGAAAAACATTGTCCAAGTTAAGGGAGCACAAGCTTTATGTCAAGCTAGAGAAGTGTTCTTTTGCCCAAGAGAGGATTAAGTTCCTAGGGCACATTGTTGAGCATAGATGCATCAAAATGGACCAAGAGAAGGTCAAGGCTATTCAAGAGTGGCAGCCACCCGCTAATGTCTCAGAGCTGCGGTCATTCCTTGGGTTAGCTAATTATTATTGCAAGTTTTTTGAAGGCTACTCAAGACTAGCTTCCCCATTGACATAGTTGCTAAAGAAAGGCAAGCCATATGTTTAGGCAAAAGAGTGCCAACAAGCCTTTCAAGCCTTGAAAGAAGCTATGTCAAAAGACCCTATTCTTGCTCTGCCTAACTTAGGTAAAGCTTTTGAGATACAAACTGATGTATCTGATTTTGCTTTGGGTGATGTTCTTTTGCAGGATGGTCACTCAATTGCCTATGGGAGTAGGAAGTTCAATGATGCCGAGCGGAGATATCCAGCTCAACGGAGATATCCAGCTCATGAGAAAGAGTTGCATGCAGTAGTGTATTGTCTGAGGACTTGGAGGCACTACATCTTGGGCTCACGGTTTGTTGTAAAAACTGACAATACAGTGGTTAGCCATTTCTTAACACAGCCCAAGCTAAGCGCACAACAAGTACGATGGCAAGAGAAGTTGGTAGAGTTTGATTTTGCCTTAGAATACAAGGCTGGTCCCACCAACCATGTTGCTGATGTACTAAGTAGGAAGGCGGAGCTTGTCGTGTGCCATCATGTATGTTCACTTCCATTTCAACCAGCATCAAGGAGAAAATCAAGGCTTATCTAGACAAGGATGCTATGGCAGAGAATCTTATGAACCTTGTCAAAATAGGTAAGACTCGCCAATTTTAGGTGCAAGATGGACTTCTAATGACAACAGGCAACCGCATCTTTGTACCCAGGGCTGGTGATTTGAGAAAGACACTTCTTAGAAAGTGCCATGATACACTTTGGGCAAGACATCCGGGTTGGGAGCAAACATTGGACTTGGTGAAACAAGGATATTATTGGCCCCAAATACGTGATCATGTTGAAGAATATGTCCGCACTTGTCTCATTTGCCAACAAGACAAAGTTGAACATAAGAAGAAAGCAGACTTGCTTAAACCTTTGCCCGTGCCTAAATGTCCGTGGGAAAGTGTATCACTTGACTTTATCACTGAACTGCCTAAAGTGGGAGACATCGAGACTATCTTGACTATTGTGGACCGATTCTCCAAGTATGTCACCTTTGTAGCTACCCCAAAGTATGTTTCAGCGGAGGAGACTGCCCAACTCTCCTTCAAGCACATTGTTAAATATTGGGGTATGCCTAAAAGTATTGTTAGTGACCAAGATTCACGTTTCGTTGGCAACTTTTGGATAGAGTTATTCAAGCTTTTTGGGTCACAACTTAATACTTCATCAAGCTAACATTCGGAGATGGATGAGCAAACTGAACGCTTCAACTGTATGCTCGAGGAGTATTTGCGCCACCTTGTCAATGCTAATCAACGAAATTGGGTGCAACTTCTTGATGTAGCACAGTTATGCTTTAACTTTCAAAAGAGTAGCTCTACGGGCAAGAGTGCCTTTAAGATAGTGAATGGACAGCAGTCACTGTTTTCTCACACAATGGATGGATCTTATGAAGGAAAGTCACCCAAGGCTTACCAATTTGCTAAGGAATGGAAGAGAAACCATAACATTACTTGTGCCTATCTTGAAAAAGCAACAAGTAAAATAAAAAAATGGGCTGATGAAAAGAGGAGGCCACTTGAGTTTAGAGTTGGGGATCAAGTTCTTGTCAAACTCAATCCCGAGCAATGCAAGTTCATGAGGGAAAGAAGACAGAAGACTAGTACGCAAATATGAGGGATTAGTAACCATTCTAAAGAGAATTGGCAAGTGTGCTTACAAGATACATGCTCTATCTTGGCCAAAAGTGCACCCGATTTTTCATGTGAGTTATTTGAAGCCTTACTATCCAAACAAGGAAGATCCAACTCGAAATGAGCTGAAATGCCAAACCATCACATCCAAAGTAGGAAAAAGGTCTATTGAATCTATCTTGGCCGATCGGGTGAAAATGGTTTCTAAGAAGAAACAAAGGCAACACTTGGTGAAATGGAACGGCCTTGGAGATGAAGAAATAAGTTGGGAACGGAAGGCAGACTTGTTGGCTTTTCAAGACGAGATTGATGTTTGTTGGGTAAAGTTGTCGAGGGCGTCGACCGTTCAAGTAGAGGAGACTGTCAAAGTGTGCCCATTCCAGGGTCAACACCTTGATGCCACACTCATTTGTGCCATTTGGAGAGCCAAAAACATGGCTGACAAGTTTTTGGTGCAAGTGCAAGCCAAGGACCAAGGCATGGTGCAAGACAGTCCAAGGCATGCCATGAAGCAGCCCAGCCACAGTAGGGTAAAGACTTGTCTGCCCAACAACAACTTTAGGACAACTTTTGGAGGGTTAAATGTAGTCTTTTTGCCTTGTAAATTTTTATATAAATACCTTAGTATTAAAGGTGTTTTGGGTCCAAGTATTGTAATTTTTCTCCTTTTGTAGAATTTTTAAAAAAATTTATTATGACTCCTCAAACATAGTAGATGTTTCCTCTTGCCAAATAGGAAATGACTTAACAAGCTATATTAAGGAGGGGGTACCCAAGGGTTGAACCAAATCATTTGTGCCTTTAAAGTACCCCAATCTAGCTATTGGTAAGGCAACTTTTATAGTACTTTTGGTGCATTGTTCAACTATTGTAATGCCTTCTTTTGATCAATGAAAAGTTCATTTCACCTTTATATTGTGCAAAGCTTTTTAATTGTTGTTTGCTTTACTTTTAGCTTGTTGCTTGCTATTTTATGGCTTGTCTCTAATTTTGTGGCTCATCAACTTAACTAATATTGTGTTTGGTTGTCTTTGCAAACCTTTTGAGCTTTATTAGCGGGCTAGTAAAGAGAGTTAACTAGTGTCACACACACTTGCATATCTTTGTCAAGGCTTCCGCATTGCCAATGTGTGACACTAAGCTTGTCTAAGTTATCATCCATGTGGTGCAAGCAATCTTCATAATCAGCAGCCTTGAATCCCTCAGATCTACTCAGCTTTTTAAGAAATGCCTTGGTGGAGTCTGCCCAGGCTAGGCTCACAGCCAATGCGAACTTAGCCAATCGGTAAGGGCTCTGGCTTTGCTCTCCCGTTGCCAAAAGGGAGTGAAAACACAGTCTCGGATATATGGTGGCATTGTTGCATGAAGCCCCGATGCATACTCTAGCATTCGTTGGACATAAAAGACTCGAGGCCTAATCTTGGCCTCAATATTCATGAGAGAATAATTTGGATTATAAGTTGTAAACTGATACGGACCACTTTTTAGGTAATCCGATGCATCATCAATGCTATCCTTCAAATTCATTATGGGGTGCTTCCAGAAGTGGTCCTGGTCCTGAAGATGATGATGATGATGACTCCTCATGGTTTTACGTTTACCATCATCACCCATTTGTTGAGGTTCTGGATAGAACTCCCAATGTATTGTTCAGTCTCATTCACAACATTTAGGCAATTCCTTATTAATTCAGATTCATCAGTCAGGAGGAGCTTCTTCAAGAATGACTTGGTTGATCGACTCCTGGCTAGGCTCTCAGATAAGGCCATCAATGCCAATTGACGCGGGATTTTTTGTTATTGTTGTTGAGTATCATTACTACTGAATCATTAAAAATATCAAATATCAAATATGAAGCATTACTCATCTTAAAATATATGAATGTTGTAAGACAAAGAATAGATAATTTTCAATTTAATAAATATGAATGCTTCAAGTCAATTAGAAATGTATAGTCTATAATAAGGTCTCATTTGAGAACAGACTAATTTAGTAACTTTTTTGCTATTTGGCTAAAATATGAGCTAAAAAAAACTAATATGTTTGGGATGACTTTTTGACTTTTTACGAAAAGATGTGCAAAAAGTAGGGAGAAAAGAAAATCTTTGACTTTTTGGTATGGATTGTTGGCTTTTTGGCTAATTTAATAACTTTTTGGCTAAAAATGAGGGTTCCCAAACGAGGCCTAAGACTATATTTATGTTTAAAAAAATAATAAATGGTTAGCATAATTTTGATAATTTTTTGAAAAACAATTATAGTCTGACCATAGAACTATGTATATCTGATTAATCTCGTTTTTTATATGAATAACATACTCGATAAACTTTATAATATGTATGGTCCAGGTCAATCAAAAAAAAAATTGATACAAACTTCACCATGGCGTCACAGCGGGGGTGCTGTGACATCACTCTCCCCAAGTCCTAATCCAAGATAAGATATATATATCTATATTTAATTGTGACGTCTTGAGATTTTCTGTTCTAAATTTTTTTTTTAACGCATTTTGAAATGTTAAATCATATTTTAAAATTCATTTATCTTGATAATCTTACATAATCTTATTACAATTCAAAATATATCTAATCATATAAGATAGAGATTTTAGAGACAGAATATCCAGAAAAATTATGACCACCAAATGGATACAAGGAAAACCACCCATCCTTATGCCACTCCCAAGTGAGACAACCCCCCAAAATCAGCATCCCCAATGAATAGCAATTTCCCTTGACTTTATCACCAACCCCATGCCAATCTCGTGCATCTCTCTCCCTCTTTCTCTAGAAACCTATCTGTATTTTTACTTTTCTTACCAACCACCACCACCACCATCATCATCATCATCATCATCCAACAAAAGGCTCTGGAGAGTCAAGCCATGGCAGCCTGTGGAAGCCTCCAACACATCTTCGAGAAGCCAATGCCTGAAAACCTAACACTCCTCGAATCCCTCTCATCATGGAAACATATCAAATCTTCAAAACCCATTGAAGATTCATCTTTCACTGAAATCTTTGGTGAATTGCATTTCGAAGAGAATCCAGAACCATCCCCATCTTCCACCACTACTCTTCCCCTCTCATCCTCGTCCTCCACATTATCATCTTCCTCTTCATTGTCATCCTCATCATTGAAAGCCATAGTCGAAAATCTCGACAATGAAGGAAGCACCAAGAGCCAAACATCAGATTATTATTCAAGAAAACAATACGTGGGTTGTCACAAGAACAGCGACAGCTTTTCGTCGATGAATTCAGATAGTTTGCAGCTATGCACTGAAGGACTTGGATTCGAAAGCTCCGACGATGTCGACTTGAAAACCGACATGGGTAGTAATGATTGGCAGAGCCAAGATGATAGAATGTGCATTGCCAAAAATTCATTGAATGAATTGAGGAGGTCGAGGAGATGTGGAAGAATATTCCCTCCACCGATATCGAGCATTGGGAAGAGTGGGAAGCCATGGGTGAGCTTCAAATCGTATCGCCACGATGGTAGGTTTGTGCTCAAAGAGATAAGGATCCCAGATAACGAATTGTTGCATGCTCGTCGAGAAGATGGTAGATTGATTCTGCAGTTTTGTCAGTCTGACGATGAGATTCTTGATGAAGATGAAGACGAAGATGAAGAAGAAGAAGAAGAAGAAGAAGAAAAGAGTGATTTTGATGGCGATAATAGTAATGTGAAGGAAGATGAAATTTGTGCTGGAAAGGATGTGGATATCAAGACCACTGCAGATGGAGGCGATGATTCGGATTTGTATAAATAATGGGTATGGAAGCTTCAAGGTTTTGATTTTTTGAAAGCCAAGCATTCAAGGTTTTTATTATTTTTTTATTTTTCTTCAAGTTCATGCTCTTTGATCCATTGAAATGTGCAAATAAGTAGGATAGCAAAGGGGGATGAATTTGAGTTTGTTGTTTATTAGAATTAGTTTTTTTTTTTTTTTGTTGTTTTTGAAGCTTCTACTTTCTAGGGCGAATCTGATTGCAACTTGCAAGTTGCAAATTTGTGGTTTCCATGTGTTTTTTTTTTGTTAGTTTTTACAGTTATTTGCATTTTGGAATGTGAAATTTAACACTCTAGAAATGGTGAGATTCTTTATTTACGGGAAAGGCGTGCCTGCTGTACAGCAGGTACTACAGTGCAGTAAAAGCGTTCGGATCCTCTAGAGTTATTCTCTAGAGTGATCTCCTAAAGTATATGATCGAACGGCTGAGAATAAAACTCACCAAAACGACGTCGTTTTGGTGAGTATTTTGTTGAAAAAAAAAAAATTCAGCATTTTCGATTTCAAAACAACGAAGGTTCTGTGGAAATGCAAATCTGAAATTAGAGAGAGAGAGAGAGAAGGGCTGAGAGTTTCGGATGTCCGACTCGCCACCGTCGCCGCTGCCGCTGCCACACCGCTAGGTCACCATACTCCAACAGATTGAAAGAAAAAACCACAGGTTCGTTCATCCTCTAAACTTCAAATATTAGGGCTTTGATTCCAAAAATTAGGGAAAAAATAAAAAAATATGTTCTTACGGGAGCCGAACTTCAAATATTAGGGCTTTGATTTGAGACTTTTTACACAATTTATTTCAAATCTATGCTTAGAGGAGCCGAACTGGATGATTGGAATCATCAAAGAAATTTATGAATATCAAGTTTTAAATATATATATATATATATATATATGCATCTGTGTAATGGGCCTAAAATGGGCATTTAATCTGTGTGTAATTTAAATTATATGACATACAGAAATATAGTATTTAAATTCCAAACATGGGCATCTGTGTGTAATTTAAAATGGCCCTCTATTTGTATAATTTAATCTGTGTGTAATTTAAATATAGTATTTCTGTGGTTGATCATAAAATGGGCATTTTCAGTTTGGAATACAGAGAAATGTAAGAGAATGATATATGTAATTAAGTTTGTTTTCTTTGGCATTGATGAATGTCTATGCATAAATGCTCAGTATAGTTTCTTCCATACTATTCCTTTAGATAACAGTATGTAACAGAATGATATAGTTTCTTCTATACTCATAATGATATATGAAATACACATCTTGCCCTTTAAATAACTTTAGATAAAGAAATGTTGTCAAAGATTCATAACTTTAGATAAAGAAATGTTGGAGCAAACAATAGGAAAAGATGAGCAATATAATTGAGTTTTTTTTTTTTTTTTAAAACCAAACCCAAGTCATACCAACCAGCCCTGCTTGCACACTGTTTTGCAATTGTCAGTTTCCTTCCAAGATTTTAACTCTCTCAGCTACCTCTTCCATAAGAAAAAAACCTCCCTTGTATCACGTACTATCCATTCTTCATTAGGTTCTTCTCAATAAGATTAGTTTCATACACAACTTTTGCTTAGCCCACTGAAGAAACATCCTGCATTGTAAAGGTAATGGACAGATTAATAGTTACAAAATTATTGTTCCTAATATCCTAAGTATTGTTCCAAACCCAATATCCTAAGTATTGTTCCACACCCAAACATAAAATAAAATTAAAGATGAAAACAAGTAAAGGTAATGGACAGATTAAACATTGCAAAAGCCTATTGCTTGCTACACTAACAAAGGTAGATTGATAGTTACAAAATTACACTTACGAAGAATAATTGTTAGAAGCACAAATCCTAAAGAGAATGTCATCTTCTACTAATCGGTAGTTGAATCTGTTGGTATTTTTTATGCAGATAAACAAATGGCTTCATCTTCTACTAATAATACGAACTTAAGATTAAAGCCAAGGTTTTGTAATTGTGGAAGAACAGCTTCCGTGCGTATTGTACGAACCAATGCAAATGGAAATAAAGGACGTGTCTATTTTGTTTGTCCAAGAAAATATGTAAGTACCTGTTATATAAATGAATCTATTACTTTTTACAAATTTCATTTGTCCTTTATTGATTACTTTTTACAAATTTCTTGTCCATTGTAGTCTACAAACGACCACTGCAATTACTTCAGGTGGTTCGCAGATGACGACGACGACGACGACATTACTGCATCAACTTCAACCAATGCTGGACCTCGGACAGATTCAACAACAGAAGAAATTAATGATCTACGGAGATGGCTTGGTGAGCATGATAGAAGGCTTCAAAGGATGGAGAAGATGTTCAAGGCAATGACTTATGTCATTGTATTTTGTGTATTTTTGTACTTTATCATGTAAATGACTCAGTTGTTAGGTTTTCGAACATACTATGAATGTAATCTACTTTTCTACTTGTTTTGTAATTTTTTTTTTGGTGCTTAAAAATCTGATGGCTTGCAAAAACAAGTGTATAACAGGTTTGTTTGAGATGAAATGTGTTGAATGAACAGTTTGTGAAATCTATTGAACACGTGCATTGAATAACAATGTGTTAAATGAACAGGTGCTTAACAGTGTATTTTTTTGGACAATGGTTAAACATGTTGAATTGATATGTGTTCAATGAACAGGATTACATGTTAAATTGAAATGTGTTCAATGAACATGATTACATATTAGTCAAATAGGCTGATTTGTAGTTTCCCCCCCAAAAAATAGCTAAGTTTAGATGTGTTTAATTAATGAATTTGAGACTTGGCCATTAACTCTTCCTGCGTGTGTAGACTGTAAAATGACTCTTCCTATACAGGATTACATATTTTCTATGCTCATTTTTTTGTCTTGGTCCAAAAGTGTTGCTTATTTAGGATTTTATTTCTTCAGTATCAAGTGAACAAATATATATGATGCAGCTTTGTTATGTGGTTCAATTATTAAGTTTGATGATAATAGGAGAAGAACGTCAAAAAGAAAAGATGCTAAATTAGGACAAAAATATTTATATACACTGGTTTTTAGGTTCTGGTTTCTTTCTATCTATTAGAATGGTTCTTGAAAGTCTAGGTTCTATAAGATGTTGCTGTTGTAGTAATGCTCATGGTTAGTAATGACAGTAGGAATATCAGGTTTGCCTACAAAGATGAAGATGAGTTTTGCTGATTAAGTTTGTGGTAATAAGTTTCCACACCCAAGGTATGCTGCTGTTGTGCCCTTAAACCAGCAACTGCAGCTGATGTATGCTGCCATAGGGCATATCATTTTTCACCCAACCACACCCAACATACTACACCGAAGGAATGCTGCCAGTCGGAACAACCTTACACCAGCTGTTGTTGAATCCATGCTGTTTGTATGCTACCAAATAGAATGCCATCAAAACAAATGCCACCAACAGCAGATATCAAGCACAATGGCAACCGGAAAGCCAGCCAAAGCCCAAACCAGAATGCCACCAACCAGCAGCCATAGCAACCAGCAACCAACATAAATTTCAACCAAAGTTTCAGCAACATTTGAACAGAAATTTCAACAAAAATTAAGCACAAGTTAATCAAAATTTCATCAACATTTCAACAGAAATTTTAGCAAAATTTAAGCAACAATTGAACCCAAATTTCAACAGTTTCATGAAAGGTTTTCAATATTACATATCCAACAAAAAATTCACAAAAATTCCCAAAACAAAATAACACTAAGATGTTGGCGTGTGATCCACATCCCCACGCCCACGCCCACGCCCACGCCCACGCCCATATAGTACCTACAAAAAAAATAAAATTATATTACATCGAAGGAACCATAAAATCAAATGGAACTTTAAATGAATGAATGACAAAATAAAAGAGTAAAGGTGAAAAATAAATTATTTCACTACATGCGGGACTATTTGAAGCTTGTGAGTGACAACTACTTGCATTGTTAAGCAATGCTTGATAGGTTCCATGGACGGAATACATCGATGGCATTGAAAAATGCATATTGTGATGAACAAAACTTGGCTGCAACAATAACAAACACATATCAATATAAAATGATAATAGTCACATACAAATCCCTACTAAAACTTTTTATTAAACTAACTTACATCATAGGCGGGATACATAAATTGAGACGAAGAAGCTCTAACTTGAGAAACACTCGGCGAGAATGGAGGAAGTTGAGGAGCACTTGAAAATAAAGGAGCCAACTGAGGAAATAAGGGAGGTGCTTCAGGGGCACTTGTCGAAAATAAGGGAGGAGTTTGAGGAGTAACAGACATGGAAGTTTGAGAAGCATTATGTGAACTTGTTTTATGTTTCTTTGCCAACGCAAGCTCCAAAGCACCTTTTGTCCGCCTTCATCCCTTGCTAGTGCACTCTCTTCTCTTGAGTCCTTTTGCTTGAACTACATTTTTATCCACTACACCATCCACTTCAAAGCTTTCGGGGCATGTGTTGGGGGGGCTTTCTTGCTGAATAGTATCTAAACAAGGCATATTGAATTTTGTGCTTAACATGGTTTCAATGTCTGCAATTAATTCATCCGCTTTCTCGACCGTCAAATTATATGTTTCGTCACTTTCAGAAGCTCTACACGCTACTAATCTGAATATTGCCATCAATGACCTATAACGTGAAGTTTGATGCAATCTTACATCAACTTGAACATCATGCCCACACCTATCTTTCACATTTTCAGATCTTGCTTTTTTAGTCCATCTCTTTAGAATATATTGTGAAGGAATCTCTTTGAATTTGAGTCTTTCTCTAAGGATCTTCAAACAATGACTACACAAAATGCCCTTTATTTCAAACTTCCTATAATTGCAAGTGACCGAATCATCACACTCCTGCCTCACCTTCCTCACCTTTATACCATCACTATCAAGAACAGTATAAACGGTACTCTCACCATCATTTTCAATTTCTTCAATGTTTGCTTCAAGGGACTTGACATACTCATCCTGAAATTCTTCAAAAATTTTATTTGTGTAAACATCTGCAGCTTGCTCCATAATCTTCACTTTAATATTCACCCTTGGCAACTTTTGGCATAGAGCATATTCGGCTTGTAACTCTTTGTACCTCTTCTCAGACAGAACTCGATCAAAATGCATGAAAAATTGCATTAAGTTATGATCAGACTGAATGAAATCCTTCAAGAAAGCATTAAAGGATTCACTAAGTTGGGTGCTACTCATGCTCTCACCCCATGCATTTCTAACATATGGCCAACCCCATTTTTCCTTGACCCCAAATGTTAACTTCAACCAATGATTATCTCTTACTTCATACTTGTCAAGCATTTCCTCCCATTTTAACATAAACTCTTCCTCATCCTCAATGTCGTACATAAACGTAGATAAAACACTCTTCATCCCTTTATCCTTCATCGCCTTATCCTTGAAGATAGAATTTGCATGCCTGAATGCATTTTGCATCAAATGCCAAGTGCAAAGGCGGTGGGTTGTGTTAGGCATGACAATAGGTATGGCCTTAGCCATCGCAGCATCCTGATCCGTAAAAATTATTTTTGGAGCCTTACTTGACATTGCCTCCAAGAATCTTCTAAAAAGCCATACAAAAGAATCGGCGGTCTCATCATACATCAAAGCTGCACCAAATATCACAGTTTCCCTATGATGGTTAAATCCAACAAAAGACGCAAATGGTCTATGTGCACATTTAACTTGTAAGTAGTGTTGAAAGTCACAACATTACCAAATTGCCCATAATCCATGATCATCTGAGCATCGGCCCAAAATATGTTTGTAATCTGCTCCTCATTATCTAATTGGACCGAGTAAAAAAAAGATGGATTCTCCAATGATTTGTCACGAAAATATTGCAAAATGCTACCTGCCTTCCCATATGCTAAACTGTTTTGCCTCTTCGTTCTCAAATAATTTTTTTGGTCCAGTTTTGTGAACCCAAGTGACTCCCTTCCACCAACTTCATTACCCATGAGCTCAAATGCAGCATTAAGACAGATTCCAGATTTTTCAGCTAAATCTATTTCAGTTGCCTGTGATGCAGATATCTTCCTTTGGGATGGTAACATATGCGTACATTCTGTTGGTACAAAGATATGATTATGTTGTTCAATAAAATCACTAACAAAAAATTTCTTTGTATTCCTACCCCACTTAATAACAAGTCGGGCTTGACAACCAGTCCTTACTTCCTGCCTAGAATTTTTTGTTAATGGATCTCGCTTGTCGACAACCCGAAATCCCTCCTTATTACAAACAAATTGCCTTGAAGTGATTTGCCCCTCTTTGCTCTTGTTTACATAACCCCTTATAATACTAAAGCCCAACCTTCCTCCATAACTATTATAGAAATCATATACTTCTTGTTCTGTATCAAATGTCATGCGAACTCTAGGCTTCCAATCACACTCACCCCCGTCATTCTCATGATTGTTAGGTTCCACATCAATGTGCCAAGTCACTTAAAAAATAAAGAAGTGCTCAATATTAGCATAAAAACTGTACATTATGTTTGCAAAATAATACAAATTGAATAAGATAATCAACGAATAACAAACTGAATAATACAAACTAAATTATGGTCTTTGTTATGTACCATTTAAGATGTTCAGTACAGCAGGTATTCAGAAGAAAAAAAAAAAACTGAGTCCTTTGAAGCATTCATGCACTATATGTTGCTTAATATACATGACCATCCAGCATTTGCACTCTTAGGTAATATGTTGTCAATTTTAATTTGTGACCTTGTGTTCTTTTGCCTGTACTACAACACAAAGCCCTGGGCTACTTGCTTTGCAGCGTTGATCAGTCTAATTTTGTGTTTTGCATGATTGAGGAATTAATATCAAATCTCCTAAGGATTGCTAAAATTTAATTCATGAATGCCGTTTTAGTAAGCCAAGTTTTAATGGATATCAAGCAACAAGGGGGCTTTGATTGGATTGTGGAAATTTAATTAGTTGCATGAGAATACTACATAAGAAGCTGGATTTGGAAGTTTTTAATCTCGACTGTTCTAACTCTATATATATATATCTAACTATTGTTCTAAATAATCAACACAAATATTGCAAGTTTTCATGGTATTGATGGTTATCGTTTTGAGAAAACAATCAAACTAAACTATTACCAAAAGAAGCAATTATACTGAAACACCAATTCTGCTTATGTGTTTAACAAGAATTCTATGAACAATTGCTTGGTCTGTCAACAAGTAAGAATCCAGATTCAAGTATAAGATTAGGTCCTGTTTTGGTCCACCTAACCCAGAACTCAACATTGGCATATATCTTGATAGTTCAAACCCCCTACCACTTGAGGCTCCATTTCGATACATGGATTTGAAATGAATGGATTTAATACAGGGATTGAACAATATTCAACACAACATAGATATTGCAAAAAAAATTTATGTTCTCAACCATAGGGTTATCATCTGGGATTGATTTAGAGGAGACCAAAAAAAACAAAATCGAACTTAAAACATATATTTAAACATTCTAAATACCTATATTTTCTTCAATCGGTTGGAACAAGGGCGACGGCCACGGCCACGGCGGTGGCAGGATAGTGGCGACGGTACGATGGCGGTGACAGCGGGGCGACTGCCACGGTGGGGCGACGGGATGCACGAAGTAGCAGCCTCTCTACTCTTCTTCGATCTCTCGTTCTTTCGTCGTTTTGCTTCTTCCCGCCGTCTGTATTCACGTTCTTCAACCTGGAGGGAATTTTGAAATCGAAATTGTTGAATTTTTTTTTTTTTTCAACAAAATACTCACCAAAACGATGTCATTTTGGTGAGTTTTATTCTCAGCCGTTCGATCATATACTTTAGGAGATCACTCTAACTCTAGAGGATCCGGAGCCTTTTTTTTTTTTTTAACATAATATTTCTTTGTTTTGTTTTTTTGTTGGTGTGTGCTGCTATTGGCTAGTTTCTGGTTTGAGCACACCTATCAACATTACATTACTTTAAAAAGAATTAACAAAAATAATAAGGGAAAATTATAAAAAAAATAAAATAAAATAAAAAATCTCAAAATTTAGTCTTTGTAACAAAATAAATTATGAGTTTTTAATTTTATTAATTTAAACTTTAATTTTTTATTTGTTTTTAATTTAAACTATTGACCTATTTTCGTTAGGTAAATTAATAGAAAATGATATTTTAGACATTTTATGTATATCTATATTGAGTTTAATGACTAAAAAAAAATTGTGAGCTTTACCTAACAAAAATAGATGAATTGTTGAGATTAAAAACAAATCAAAATTTTAAAGTTTAAATTGATAAAATTAAAAATTCATAATTTATTTTATTACAAGGATCACTATATGAGATTTTTTTATTATTTTTTATAATTTCTTCAAATAATAATAATATTAATAATAACAACAACAACAATAATAATATTGTACTCATTCAAACAAATCAATAAAAAAAAAAAATCATAAAACCCTCAAAAAATTACTGTTAAATTTACTTGCAACGATGTGTATTATTACATATTATTTATTGATTTGTTGAAAAATCAACCAATATACTCTGATAAATATCAATGTCAAATAAAATATAACTAGTCTCATTTAATGTTTAAAAACATTAAAAATGTAATACTCAATAAATAATAAATTTCAATTCATGTGAATTTTCAAAAATAAAATAAAAAATATGCAAGTATATATTCCTCCTTATTACAATAAATGTCTATAAAGATTTGTAAAATTTTATTTTGTTTTGTTTTAAAAAACCAAAAAAAAAAAAAAAATGGAAGAAGAAGAAACTGTATGGTTTGGCACGCACAACACACCCTACTGTGCTTAGAGCACAGCAGGTACCCGTTGTCCGAGATGAACTCAAACATATGAGAAGAAGGAATATGTCTTGGTTTTGGAAATCCCTATTTATTATGAATTTTTGTCTCAAAAATTATCCTGAAAGTGAAATGTACCATGTAAATTTAAAAGGGTGAATTTCATCAGTGCAACATAAAAAAAAAAAAAAAAAAGAACTATTTACATGTTAATGATAAATCTTAAGGTTAATTACACTAATAGTCCCTATAGTTTGAAACTTGTGTTACTTTGGTCTCTGACTTTTCAATTGTGACACATTTGACCCTAAATTTTGAATCTTGTTCCAAATAAGAACAATTGAAAATATAATTAGATTTTTCAAAGGTAAAATCGTCAATTTAATAAAATATAAACTAATTTGACAAAAATAAATATCAAAAAAATAATTTTAATTTTTTAAAAATTATTTTTATCCACCAATGATAAAATTATGTAAAATTAATAAAAATTACATGATTAATTTTTTAAAATTAATTTTACATGATCATCATCCAAACACATAATAAAAATTAATTTGGTAAAAAATAAATAAATGTCTAAAAGATTTTTCAATGTTAGATAATTTTATTTTTAGTAGGTAGAAATAATTTTTAAAAATTCAAAAATATTTGTTTGACATTTATTTTTGTCAAATTAGTTTATATTTTATCAAATTGACAATTTTACCCTTGAAAATTCTAATGATATATTCAATTGTCTTTATTTGGAATAATGTTCAAAATTTAGGATCAAATATGTCACAATTAAAAAGTCAGGGACCAAAGTGATACAAATCCCAAACTATAGGGACTATTTGTGTAATTTGCCCTAAATCTTATAACATTAAAAATTAATTTTATAAACTTTTTCATTTATTTGAAATTATTTTTTTAACTTTTCACTTATTTTCCCTATTTAAAATATGTGGAATATAGGTCAAATTAAGAATAATTATTGTTTATAGTATTACTTTTTAAATAATTTTTCTAAATATGTAATATTATTGCTGAATTTTTGTCCCAACTATGCCTGCTTTTGTGAGGATGAACCCATTCAAGACAAGATTAATAGAAGGAACAATCTTACATACACAATTCGTTTATAAAAAAATCACAAAAAAATTAATGTAGCCCAAATTCATTTAAGATACGCACTACAATATATAAGAATTGAATCTAAATTACACATTATTTTTCTACTTATATGTATGCATATGAATTTTATACACATCCTTAATTATAATGATTTTTTTTTTTTGGTTAAAGGAAAATCCTCCCACTCTCCCGCAGGTTAGAGTAGTGCCCCTTGCCAAGATCACTAAGATATTTTGTTGTCCGTTTTGAGTAAGGAGACTATAATCTGAGAACTTATTCCGATCTCCTAAGACAAGTTCCACGTAAATTAGGACTCGTGCAGCGAGAGAGTATTGAGTTCACACCAAGTGCTGTGGTAGCAATAATTTGAGACTAACCTCCTAACTAACTACGTTACGCCAAAGAAATTGACCCAAAAAATTTTAAACTTGAAACCTAAGTCTTAATTCCCAGACCTTTACCAAGTGGCAAACACCCTTAGGTTATCTATAATGGAAGTTATAAGCATATTGACAACGAGTCCGGATCCTCGGCCGCCCTCTCCTGTGGCTCTTCCAGCAGTGCCCCAAAACGACGTCGTTTTGGGGCAAATTGCAATAAAATAAAAATAAAAAAGCCAGAGCAGAGCAAACCAACGAAGGAGAAGAAGGAAGAAGGGAGAAGAAGGAACTGTTACCTGCATATTTTCAGTGAGTCGAATAAACAACAAAGATGAATAGAACACAAAATTTCCTCAACAACAAATTATCAAAATCCCAAATCATCAAACACTTTATAAACATATGTAAGAAAAACCCACAAAATTAAACACACAAAAAAAATATATATATATATATATTGAAAACCCACCTACCATCAGACTTCAACAAAGCCAAAAAGGACAAAAACCACAAATGCAAGTAAAAGTATGAACTGTACCTGAAGAAACCACTGATCAGTAACTAAAAAAGAGAACCCAAAATTTGAGCCAGCATCAAATTCACCTTCTCATCCAAATCTATCAAATACCCATAACACCAAATCATTCACCATCCATTTATATCAATCAACCACCACAACCCACCTCCTCTACCATCGGTGCCGCTACCAACCCACAGTTCAACAGCAAAACCAAGGAAAAAAATCGGCCACCTGGTGGT